GGATTTGTATACTTTTGGGTAGGACATGCAAGCGCGTGCCTTAAATTAAGTCAAGTCGAGGTAGTTGCCAACGTCACTGGTTCAATACCATACCAAATCATACACCTTCTGCTAACATAACAGAATATGAATATTTAATACGTAACATGATTATTTTATATTACTCATATAGAATTATCGCAAGTCAGTTTGCAGTCAGGTTGGATGAAAAGTGATGGTGATCTCTGACAGAATTAAGCAAGAAGAGGCAGAAGGTACAGTTCAGTGGACTAAGCTAAAAGCACGTTTAGAGAGAGAAAATCAGAATATAGAGTGAGAAACCAGGGGATATTCTGATTCTCTCACTTCATTCAAATAAACAGAAAAAAATAAGGGAGGAGAGTTATATGACGAGTTTGCAAATATCAATGCCCGTTTTTTTTTTTTTTTTTTTTAGTTTTCATGTTCACGTAAAAACTTTTGATCAGGCTCAAGTGAAAAATTAAAAAAAAGCCAAGGGGAGGACTTCCAAAGATAATGAATTTTATTGGGCGGTTGTTCGGTCTTCCTATATTAAGCTTTTCTGGAGACCTTAAGAATAAAAATGCATTTCGTGAAGTTTAAGGGGAACAAATGACTTTTAGCCAATCTTAGAAGTGCAAAGTTGCAATACTTGCAAGGGCACTTAAAGGAGAGGACTAACAAATTTAAGGAAATTTTTTGCAAAGAACGCAGAACTGCAAGAAATAAAGAAGGTCTTGTCATGAAAGTTTGAAAGTGAAGCATTGGTAAACCGAGCACCACTCGCCAAACTGCAAAAATTACCGAAATGCCCAAATCACATAGAAGAATCATCTCAAAAACTGCGAAAGTATGCTAAAAATTAGACTGGTGTTGTCAGTTAAAAAGAACTTCCCAATTACTGTAATAAATTAACTAAGGAGACAATGGCTCAGCGCGGAAGCCTGAAAGCCTAATGAACTGTTGGGAGACCCAAAGAAAAATATTATTAAGTTGAGAAAAGTTTACGAAATAACTCAAGGTTGTAGTAAGAATGAAGTAAGGTTATGCTTCAGGCACATATATCACAAAGGTACCACAAGGATGAGTTTTTGTTGTGGATGTGCTATGCACAACTCTCAGAAAACTCTAACTCTCAGAAACTTTCTTTAACTC